AGTCGGACGCTTAACCGACTGAGCCACCCAGGCACCCCTATATCACTATCTTAAATAGAAAATCAGTGTCACACTCCAGAAATAGGTCAAATAAAAATAAATTCAGTGAAAATAAGATATAATATCAAATTCTAGCTAAATAGTGTTGCCCTTCAAAGACTAGTGTTAAAGCCTGTTCTCTGTTAAAAAGAGAAGTTATTAAATGTTATATCAGCAGATCAAGTATTAGATTAGCACATTAATCTGTTTTTTTTTTTTAGATGTTTATTTATTTTAAAAGAGAGAGCACAAGCAGGGCGGGAGTGCAGAGGGAGACCGAGAATCCAACTGACAGTGCAGAGCCTGACACCAGGCTCAATATCACAAACTGAGATCATGACCTGAGACAAAATCAAGAGGTGGACGCTTAACCGACTGAGCCGCCAAGGCACACTTAAACTGGGACCCTTTCCTTGAAGTAATCAGAGGAAGTGAGAGAGAATTGAAGAGGGAATAAAATTTTCACGGTGAGCTAGGGTTATTTAATACCCAAATTAATCTGGTATTTTTCCCATACTTTAGGAACGTTAATAATTGACAGAAGATGCTAACATTAGGATCTGTAATAAAGAATGTGAATCTCTGGGGCACCTGGGTGGTTCAGTTGATTAAGCTTCCAACTCTTTGTTTTGGCTCAGATCATGATCTCATAGTTCGTGGGTTTGAGCCCTGCATTGGGCTCCACACTGACAGTGAAGAGCCTGCTTGGGATTCTCTCTTCCTCCCTCCCTCCCTCTCTCCCTCTCTGCCCCTCCCCTGCTTGCTCTCTCTCTCTCTCACTCTCTCTCTCAAAATAAATAAAACTTAAAATATGAATTTGTATACTTCTGAATTGTTTGAAGTTTTAAACAATTGCTGTTTTTAAAATTTTAATCCATAAAGTGAATTGGGCTGTAGAAACCTGGGTTTTATTCTCATTCTTCTTGCCACTCTGTTAAAGGCACTGAAATTTCTTCAGAACTGGCTTCTGAAGGATCTACAAATTGATGGTATTCACCTGGTTTATAGATCAAAGAGGAGAAAGCATATAATAAAATGTTGATACAGTGTCTCCCTGTTTGGGCTAAAATTAGAGATGCTATAATTGCATTAAAAGAAACTAAAGCACCCACTGTGCTATTGCTATGCTGTTACTTGGAGTTTGTCTTTTAAATTTGATGTGTTTTTTTTCTTGGGTTGCAATTATTTACTTTATAAGCAGTGCCTTCAGTGATCAATTTTATCTACTAAAATGCATGTCAGTGTTTACTGAATGCCACTTGAGTTCTTCTACCCATGCTCTTGTGTATCTCCTCAGATGCCTACGGGATCTTGTTTTACTGGTTAATTCCTTCAGTCTTTCTCTTTCCCCTCTCAGTTACAAATATCCTAATCTTCTAAAAACATTCACAATGCACATTCTCATAGCACCTTTCCTCCTGCTTCTCTGCAAGTCTTATGTTTCTGTTTTTCCATTACTAAAGTTAGTAGAAAATAATTCTATGCAAGCAGTCTCTGCTTCTGGTACTGCAAAATCTCTTGATTTCTCTCTCATCATTCAGATTCAGTGTCCTTCTCAGATTCTTCCATTGCCTATTCTGTAAATATTGTTCTCTCATTGTTCTACATACAACATTTTCTTATGCTTTAGGAAGTCTCTTGAGCTCCAGAATTTTATATTTAGCCTCTTTTTCTGTCCTGAACACAAGACTCAAGTGTCTAGGTAACTCAAACAAGAATATCCCCAAATAAGCTCTTTCCCCAAATGATCCCATTAACTCACATACTTTACCTTATGAAAGTGTCAACTCCCATCTAGTTGTCTTCACCAGCACCTCAGGTTCTTCTTTGGAATTATCTTTGCCTCTTTTTCATGTAGTTGTCAATTTTTTTCACCTCCTACATACCCTAAGTCCATGTTCTCTCCATCTCCTTATTTCTGAATCTAGCTTTATGGTATAGTAGCTTATCATCTCTTGCCTTGAATTATTGTAGGAGTCTTCTAACTTGTGTCTCAATTTTCAGTTTCTGTCTCTAGTCCTTTCTGTAGTTTTAAAGCAAAAAATGGATTATAGTGTTCCCCTGTTTGAAACCCTCTCACAGGAAAATCCTGTGAATATAATGTTAAGTGAAAGAAAAAGAAACCATATGCTGTTTTTTAAATGTAATACATATTGGGGTGCCTGGGTGACTCAGTCAGTTAAGCTTCTGACTTTGACTCAGGTCATCAGGTCATGATCTTGCAGTTCATGAGTTCCAGCCCTGCCTTGGGCTCTCTGCTGTCAGCATGGAACTTGCTTCAGATCCTTTGTTCCCCTCTGTCTCTGCCCTTCCCCTGCTTGCACTCTCACTTTCTCTCTCTCTCTCTCTCTCTCAAAAATAAATAAAATAAAAAACATTTTAATAATAAAAATAAAAAAATAAAATTTAATAACAACCAGAATGATAGTTCACATTTACTAAATGTCAGGCACTTTACATGTGTTGCTCATGTAATGTTTGCAATAACTCTAAGATAAATACGAATATTATCCTGATTTTTACTCCTGAAGAAACTGGAGCTTAGAAATTTACTTACTGTGAAAGGCCGAATAGCTGGTATGTCAGAGCACTCCCCTTAATTCTAACTATGTACTCCATGCTATTTATTTCTTACATATACATACGTTTTCAGTCACAAAAAAATAAAGGAAACACATCAAAGTGTCAACTGATGCTAAATGCTGGAATCTGAATACTTGTAATATTTTTGTTCATATTTTTCTAGATTTCCTACAGTAACACTATAATCTGTAATAATAAAAAGAGCAAATATTTAATTTTTTAATATCAAAAAAAAATCTTCCATGGTTTTCAATTTTCAACAGAATAAACTCTAAATAATTTTATGTCGGGGCACCTGACTGGCTGGCTCAGTTGGTAGAGCATGTGACTCTTGATCTCAGGGTTATGCGTTTAAGCCCCACATTGGGCATAAGATTACTTCAAAAATATATGTATACAGGGGCGCCTGGGTGGCTCAGTTGGTTGGGCGTCCGACTTCAGCTCAGGTCACGATCTCACAGTTCGTGAGTTCGAGCCCCACGTCGGGCTCTGTGCTGAGACCTCAGAGCCTGGAGCCTGCTTCACATTCTGTGTCTCCTTCTCTCTCTGCCCCTTCCCTGCTCATGCTGTGTCTCTCTCTGTCTCAAAAATAAATAAACATTAAAAAAAAAATTAAAAAAAAAATACATGTATACATATATCACTCACTCACTCATTCATTCACTCACTTTGTGTTACAGAGTGCTTTGCAATACATTCCCAGTCCACCTTACCAATACTATTTGTACACACCTCTTCCCCTTTGAAGAAATTAAAATTTAGCTATACGGTAAAATGTTCTTGGGGGGGCCTGGGTGGCTCAGTCGGTTGAGCGTCCTGCTTTGGCTCAGGTCATGATCTCGCTGCTTGTGAGTTCGAGCCTCGCGTTGGGCTCTGTGCTGACAGCTCAGAGCCTGGAGCCTGCCTCGGATTCTGTGTCTCCCTCTGTCTCTGCCCCTCTCCTGCTCATGCTCTCTCTCCCAAAAATAAAGTAAAACATTAAAAAATATTTTAAAAAATTGTATCTTCTCTATTAAAAAAATGTTTTTAATTGGTGGTAGCTAACTATAGGAGAATTAGAAGCAATAGATAATTTGGGGATTCATCTTATGCCTTAATCTCTGACTTCATGATTTTTAGGATGCCAGCCCTGTTGTAATTGAGCCATCATCTATTCTGAATGGAGGAAAACACTCATTTGGAACAGCAGTACACTCTATAGAGCAAAGTGAAGATAGAATCGGAGGTGGCAGCCTCAGTTATATGAACACCACAGAGGAGAGATTTTCAGACAACATTTCTACTGCATCTGAAGCCTCAGAAACCGCTGGCAGTGGTAAGTATGACTTGTTTCCCATAAAGTTTATTCAGGGTTACTTCTTAAAGAAGTATACTTTGTCAGAGAGCGTGCTTGGTAGGATATAATCAGGCTTCCATTCACAGAAATAAGTTTTGAGGTGGAGGGGGTGTTTTATTTTTTAATTTTTAAATTTCATTTAAATCCACATTAGTTAACATATAATGTAATAATGATTTCAGAAGTATAATTTAATGATTCATCACTTACATATAACACCCAGTGTTCATCCCAACAAGTGCTTCCTTTTTGTTGTTGTTGTTAAAGTTTATTTATTTCTGAGAAAGACAGAGACAGTGTGAATGGGGGGGGGCAGAGAAAGAGGGAGAGAGAAAATCCCAAGCAAGCTCTGTTCTGTCAGCACAGAGCCCTATATGGGGCTCGAACTCACAAAACCATACGATTATGACCTGAGCCGAAACCACGAGTTGGACACTCAACCAACTGAGCCACCCATGCACCCCTAACTTAGTGCCCCGCTTAATGTGCATCACCCAGTAAGCCCATTCCCCCCACCCAACACCCATCCAGCAACCCATCCAATAAGTTTGCTCTCTGTATTTAAGGGTCTCTTACGGTTTGCCTCTCTCTTTTTATCTTATTTTTCCTTCCCTTTCTTTATGTTCATCTGTTTTGTTTCTTAAATTCCACATATGAGTGAAATCGTGATATTTATCTTTCTCTGACTGACTTATTTCACTTAGCATACTACACTCTAGTTCCATCCCCGTTGTTGCAATTTTTACAAATGGCAAGATTTCATTCTTTTTGATTGCCAGTATTCCATTGTGTATATATACACATCTTCTTTATCCATTTGTCATTCAAAGGACATTTGGGCTCTTTCCACAATTTGGCTATTGTTGATAGTGTTGCTATAAACATTGGGGTACATGTGCCCCTTTGGATTAGCATTTTTGTATCCTTTGGATATATCCCTAGTAGTGCAATTGCTAGGTTGTAGGGTAGTTCTATTTTAATTTTTTGAAGAGCCTCCATATTGCTTTCCAGAGTGGCTGCACCAGTTTGCATTCCCACCACCAGTAAAAAAGTGTTCCCTTTCCTCTGCATTCTGACCAACATCCATTGTTTCCTGATTTCTTAATTTTAGCCAATATGATAGGTGTGAGGTGGTGTGAGGTATCTCACTGTGTTTTAATTTGTATCTCCCTGATGATGAATGATGTTGAGCATCTTTTCATGTACCTGTTAGCCATGTAGATGTCTTCTTTGGAAAAGTGTCTGTTCATGTCTTTTGCTCATTTCTTCACTGGATTTGTTTTTTGGGTGTTGAGTTTTATAAATTCTTTATAGATTTTGGATACTAACCCTTTATTCAATATGTCATTTGCAAATATCTTCTCCCATTACAAAGGTTGCCTTTTAGTTTTGCTGATTGTTTCCTTTGCTGTGCAGAAGTTTTTTATCTTGATGAGGTCCCAATAGTTCGTTTTTGCTTTTGTTTCCTTTGCCTCCAGAAACATACCTATTAAGAAGTTGTTGCAAGCTGATGTCAAAGAGGTTGTTGCCTGTTTTCTCCCCTGGAATTTTGATGGTCTCCTGTCTTAACGTATAGGTTTTTCATCAATTTTGGGTCTATTTTTGTGTATGGTGTAAGAAAGTGATCCATATTCATTCTTCATCATGTCGCTGTCCAGTTTTCCCAGCACCATTTGCTAAAGAGACTGTCTTTTTCCCATAGGATATTCTTTCCTGCTTTGTCAAAGATTAGTTGACCATATATTTGTAGGTCCATTTCTGGGTTCTCTATTCTGTTCCATTGATCTATGTGTCTGTTTTTGTGCCAGTATCATACTGTCTTGATGATTACAGCTTTGTAATACATCTTAAAGTTCAGAATTGTGATTGTTTTTCCTTTTCCAGGATTGTTTTGGCTATTTGAGGTCTTTTCTGGTTCCGTACAAATTTTAGAATTGTTTGTTCTAGCTCTGTGAAGAATTCTGTGTTATTTTGATAGGGAATTCATTTAATATTTAGGTTGCTTTGGATAGTAACAATTTTAACAATATTTGTTCTTCCAATCCAGGAGCATGGAATGTTTTCCCATTTTTTTTGTGTCTTCAGTTTTTCATAAGCTTTCTATAGTTTTCAGCATATAGATCTTTTTTACCTCTTTGGTTAGGTTTATTCCTAGGTGTTTTATGGTTTTCGGTGCAATTGTAAATGGGATTGATTCCTTGATTTCTCTTTCTGCTGCTTCATTATTGTTGTATAGAAATGCCACATATTTCTGGCTGGGGGCACCTGGGTGGCTCAGTCGGTTGAGCATCCGACTTTGGCTCAGGTCATGATCTCACAGTTCGTGAGTTCGAGCACCGCGTTGGGCTCTGTGCTGACAGCTTGGAGCCTGGAGCCTGCTTCGGATTCTGTGTCTCCCTCTCTCTCTGCCCCTTCCCTGCTCATGCTCTGTCTCTCAAAAATGAATAAAGTTAAAAAAAAAATACCACATATTTCTGTATGTTGATTTTATATTCTGTGACTTTGCTGAATACATGTATCAGTTCTGGCAGTTCTTTGGTGGAGTCTTCTGGGTTTTCCACGTAGGGTATCATGTTGTCTGCGAAGAGTAAAAGTTTGACTTCTTCCTTGCCAATTCTTTTTTTTTTTTTTTTTTTTTTTTCAACGTTTATTTATTTTTGGGACAGAGAGAGACAGAGCATGAACGGGGGAGGGGCAGAGAGAGAGGGAGACACAGAATCGGAATTGCCAATTCTTTTTGATGTCTGATTGCTGAGGCTAGGACTTCCAACACTATGTTGAACAATTGTGGTGAGAGTGGACGTCCCTGTCATGTTCCTGACCTTAGGAGGAAAGGTCTCAGTTTTTCCCCATTGAGGAAGCTATTAGCAGTGGGTCTTTCATATATGGCTTTTATGATCTTGAGGTATGTTCCTTTTATCCCTATTTTCTTGAGAGTTTTTTTTATCAAGAAAAGATGCTGTGTTTTGTCAAACAATTTTCTTGCATCTATTGAGAGGATTGTGTGGTTCTTATCTTTTTTGTATTACTTGTGAATATTGAACCAGCCCTGCAGCCCAGGAATAAATCCCACTTGATCGTGGTGAATAATTCTTTTAATGTATTGTTGGATTTGGTTTGCTAGTATCTTGTTGAGAATTTTTGTATCCATGGGGAAATCTCCTTTTGTGGGATCTTTGTCTGGTTTTGGAATCAAGGTAATGCTGGCCCATTCACAGAAATAAGTTTTGAATGAAATGGTCAATTATGTTTCTTGAATTCATTAGTAGCTTTACAAAGAGAAGCTCTTCTATATTCTACTTCATTAATCTCTCAATTTGAAAATATATTCACTGATTAAGCCACTTCTCTCCATATTAAATTATTTTGTCAGGTGCCTGGGTGACTCAGTTGATAAAACGTAGGACTTCCACTCAGGTCACGATCTCACAGTTTGTGAGGTCAAGCCCCACATTGTGATACTCTTCAGATACTCTGCCCCCTCTCTCTGCCCTGTCCCCACTCACTCTTTCTTTGTCTCTCTCACTCTTTCTCTCACTCTTTCTTTCTCTCTCTCTCTCTCAAAATAACTTAAAAAATATTTTGTTAATAAGTTTAGATTTAAGAAGACCATTTTTGAGAAAAGTCTAAATTTCCATCTCCAAGACTCTCTCTGCTTTCATTGGATTTAATGCATCCTCATACCAGATTCTACAGACATTTCAGGCCAGAACTGGGGGATTATTTTGTAAAACTATTGACAAAAGTCATAATGCTTCCCATAATCCCCCTCACTCCTTGGTACCTATCTGAAATTCAGTGTTTCTATACATTTGGAGGAAATGGCTTGATGTTTTTGTGGCCCAACTGAATTGAGTTGATCCCTGTTACTCTGCTGATAACAGTAGCAGGACTCTTAGACTTACTTTCTTGTTATTTCATCTTTGAGATCTTTTTTCCTTTCCATGGAGGGAGCATTCAAATTGGACAGAGCTAGCATCTTCTCTACAAAGTTCTTTGTAGAATCTACTCCTTGTTCCCCATCTGACATTATAGTGATCACTTAGCAGTCCTAGAAGTGCTCTCTCTCATGAGCCTTAACACCAAGATTATTTCTTAACCCTCTTAAGGTCCTTTTTGATATGTGCTCACTCTGACCTGTGCTATCCACAGGCTAAGCAGTGCCACAGATAAGAGATTTAAAGTGATTGATGGCTAGAATGTTTACCCTAGATTAGCCTATAGTTTAGAGTTGAAATACCTTAAAATACCATTGAGGTTCACAACTCTAGGTCATCATTAATCATTTTTCTGTGTGCATCTTTCTTTTGTAACCTGTATGTCTTCCTTTGAAATAAGTTTATTAGGAAACCATTCCTTCCCCTCTGGTACTCTTCTATTCTTGTTTTAGCTCCTTCCCTTTGGTTTAGAGACTTCTCCTCCTCCTCCCCCTACCCCCATCCCTACCCCTTACCCCTTCTTCTTCCCCTCTTTTCCTCCCCCCCCCCTTTTTTTTTAATACTTCTTCTTCTTATCACCATTATCTACTAAGAACATTTGGAATGTGTTTATAGGTGGAAGAGAAGAATTAAAGGTGACTGCGTGAGAGCCCAGCTATTTGGCCATACTTCTTTTCCTGTCAAAGGACTTGTGACTTCTTGTGACTTACTAGATATTTTAGGAGGTTGGCCAAATGTCCATTTGGTAACAGTTTTTAAAGCTTTTCTTCCACCTAGTGTTATGCTAGGTGTTTTCCAGAAAGAATACATGTATATTTCCTATCTTCTACAGAGTTATCAGAATATTATACTGTACTGACTGACATGCCAACACAAAAATAGCATAATACATGGACACTGAGTTCATATCTTCAAGCCTATGTATAATAACTAAAAATAAAGAGATTCCATCCTCTTTTCCCTTACAGGCTTTCTGTATTCTGCCACACCAGGGGCAGATATGTGCTTTGCTCGACAGCATAACACTTCTGACAACAACAACCAATGTTTGCTAGGAGCCAATGGGAACATTTTGTTGCATCTCAGTCCTCAGAAACCAGGGGCTATTGATAACCAGCCATTAGTAACTCAAGAACCAGTAAAGGTAAGTGATTTGACATCTACTTAAAATAATTCTCTTTCAAGTGGCAAATAAATTCCTTTCTAGAGGTTTTAACACTAGCACAACATTCATACATTCATGATTCACTTAATTAACCTGGTGTAGATGGATATCTCTGCATAGTACACATCTGTGAGAATATTTTATGATTTAGAGAATATTTTATGATATAGAAGCAGTAGTAATCTTTAAAAATATTCTTGGAAGTCGGGGCGCCTGGGTGGCGCAGTCGGTTAGGCGTCCGACTTCAGCCAGGTCATGATCTCGCGGTCCGGGAGTTCGAGCCCCACATCAGGCTCTGGGCTGATGGCTCAGAGCCTGGAGCCTGTTTCCGATTCTGTGTCTCCCTCTCTCTCTGCCCCTCCCCCGTTCATGCTCTGTCTCTCTCTGTCCCAAAAATAAATAAAAAAACGTTGAAAAAAAAATTTAAAAAA